GTATATCTTTCTGAGACAAAGCTGTCCAAAGGTGCGAAGCTTCTTTTCTTACTGACCTGCACATAGCAGTACCTTTTGTCCCCCTACCCCACCGACTCCCTTCCCCACACACCGAACATTTATGATGTACATGTATTGAATGAATACAATAAAGAATGCAACTAAAACAAAATCTGGCCAAGTTACGTAAGAGGAACAATGGACGTGGCCGAGTGTAAAGGTATGTTGGATACGTGTATGCCTGGAAAAGACCACCCGTTTGGGCGGGGGGGGGGGTTGTTGTTTTGCAGTTGTTGTTACTGTTTTCAAAGAATGTTAATGGATCGCATTACGACGTACTCCTAAATAACAATTGTTATCAAACAAATATCGTAGAACCAGATTTTAATCTAATTAAAACAAATAATCATGCCAGATAAAGGAATGTACAAGAAGATGTGATGACATCTCTCTCGCTCGCTCTCTCAGTGCCATTTTCCATCTTCATTTCTGGTATTATTTTGTTTCCGTTTCGCTATTTGCTTTTATTCCGAAAGTATTCCTTTCGATCTTGAGATAAATTATTATACCCTAACCTCGATATGGAGAAGAAAAGCACGGAACGATCGAGCGCCTGATGACATCGAAACAAAAAGAATATTACTATACAATAATTATAAAAAGTAAAACATCGAGACAAAAAATGGAAACTAAAGAGGAATCCAAAGCGATGGGCTGGAGTTGATCGGAGAGACAAATATCATAATAATTAATCAACATAATGCCCAACTTTCTCTCTCTCCTTTTTTCTTCAGTGTCGTTTTCAATCTTCATCCCTCATAGTGTTTTCTGTTCCGCGATTTTTAATGAGATCGCGTTTCGACGTAGCCTTTTTTACTCCTAAATAATCATAATTTTAAGGTAGAACCAAATTTGACCCTATATTAAATATTCATTCAGATATAAAACAATCGTGGACAAATAAAGGAATGAAAAAAAAATGTGATTAAGTAAAATGTCACCGACGAAAAGATGACATGAAAAAAGATTGATTATCTCTCTGTATCTCTCCATCCCCTCTCTCTCTCTCTCTCTCTCTCTCTCTCTTTCTCGCTTTTTTCTCTCTCTGTATCTCTCTCTCTCTCTTCGTCCCTGCGCTGGCTTTATCAGGGCCATTCTCCATCTCTGTTAACGTTTTCCTTTCTGCTATTTGCTTTTATTCAGAAAGTGTGTATTCAATTCGATCTTGAGATAAATCGTTATACCTTAACCTCGATATGGAGAAGAAAAACACGGAACGAGCGCCTGATGGCATCGAAACATAAAGAATATCACCGTACAATAATTATACAAAAACAAAAAAATGACATATAATGAAAATGTTGCTAAATGATGGTCATTTGACGGTAATTTAATGCCTAAAACCCCTGAAATTCTTGGGGCTCCGTCCCCTGGACCTCAAGCCAAAGAGTGTCCTGCCAGTGTCACAAAATAATAAGGTATCAAAAAATACTCACCTGACCGTAATAAAAACGCCTAAAACCCCTGAGCTTCCGGCGGCTCTGTCTTCTGGACCAAACCAAAGGCCCTAAAGCGGGCCCCTGAATATTTATCTGACCGTAATTAAACGCCTAAAATCCCTGAGCTTCCGGGGGCTCCGCCCCCTGAACCCCATGCCAATACGTGACCTGCCAGTGTCACAATAAGGTCCCCCCCCCCCCCCCCAGAGAGCCAGCGAGGTCACTGTGACAGGTGGCTATCTCATTAACTCAGCTCTCATTTAACATAAGAAAAAGAGGATCATGGGGGACCAACGTGCACCGATTGGGGAAGTTTTCTATATAGAGGGAGCAAGTAGCTACAAGTAAAACAGTGTGCCTGACGTTTCTTTAGTAATCGCTTTTTAAAAGACTTTTTGAATTTGGCCGCTTTTTAAAGACAGATAATTAAGACGTGCGCTGGCCGGACAATAATTGATATTCTATCTTTCCTTCTAAATCACGCACTTGCATTCTCGACATTGCTTCTGTTTTCTTTTTCATTTTTAATAGAGCTATAGAATTTCTAATTTAAACGAAAAAAATACACTCGAAGAAAAACTGTTTATACCTTCTACCCTTTTCTATTATCGACCTATTTACTCAATATATTTACAGAAAATTCATTTAATAAAAAGCTATATGACAATATATGCTTCATTGTCTTGCTTGCCGTTGACATGTTTGTTTTTATGTATGTATTCAGTCCCCAAATAACTGATAGAGATGTACGTTCGATTTATATTTTCTAAATTCTTCGAAAAACAAAGTACCCCTGATTTCTAGACTGAACTCTATCTTTCAAACGCAACTCATCAGAACTTGAAAACATGACGGCGGCATATTATAATATAATATAAATATTATCTGTCTCGCCTTGACTTGACAAAGATAATATTATCTACCTCACCTCGACTTGACAAAAATAACATTTTGGCAGGCATATTTAAAAACAGTTCATTTTGGCGGGCATACGGACATTACTTTTAACCAATCAGATGGCAGGATTAGGAAAGATTCTTAAAGTAAGGTATATAATAGGATTTATATCATTGAAGCATAAAAAAAATAAACACAAAGATATGATTTGGGTATTATAAACAATAGGCGAGCCAGTAATTTAAAATAGCAAATCTTATGTTGTTACCAAAATTATTTTTTTGAATATGAAAATACAAGGCATCTAATCTATTTACAGGCAGGATGCATCTACATGAAGTGAGCCCACATATATCCACGGTACGACTGGTCTCTTTATTGAAAAGGGCATATCAGAAAAGAATGACCACATATTTGTCTCTAGTGACAAGTTGTTATTGTTGTTTTGGGTTTATAATGCTGTCCAATCTGAAAAGATTATTTTCGCAAGGCTATACTGTTTTTTCGAGTTATTTATCAGTGATGATAAGATGGCGCTGTTTCTTTTGCTCTGACAAATTAGATTCTGCTTTATGAAGATATCGTTCGGCAGGATGTGGCGGTGAATCAGGCGCCGGGTGGCTGGTTCAATTAGGCCGGCGGGGGCCCAGACGACCTCATTAAGAAGAGACTCGGCTCCCATGCGAGAGGCTGGAGTTTGGCGGCATATCACTGTCCTCCCGTCGGCGGCAGCCAGGCTGACCTCATGTTTTTTAGCTTTTTCCGAGAATCGATTTCCATTCGATAGGCGGCAGCCGGCGCATGCTTTTAAATGCCATTTCCTACCGCCAGCGGTAGCCGGATGAGCTAATTTAAAAAATGCAGCCAAGACGCATAAGTGCAGTCAGCTGACGCCGGCTGGTATATTTATTTTTGACGCCTCGCCTAATGTAACATGAACAATTGCATTGTACGTTGAAGACTATTTGACGATTAAAGATGCGATTTATCACATGTTTGTATGTAAATTGTCTTACAGGAAAAAAAAAGTGTTTCTCGAAATATGACTTGATTTGCTGTCAATGTTGAAAATGTCAGATCACAAGAGTTAGCAAAAGGTTGGATGAAAAATAAGGAGAGGGTATGACATTATATGATTGAAAAGAGAGAGAATGGAAGAGAAACCATTATTTTGGACCTCCGGCCATCCTCAAAAAAAGGATCATTAAAAAAAAAAAACGGCCGCTCACAGATAAGCAGGGGGAGGGGGTCATAAAAAATATTTTAAAAAAAACCTAAACAATTATAACGAAAATAAAAATAGATATGCCATTGCAGGTCTTATTGTTGGGAGGACAATATCCTTCAGGGTTTTGCAAAACATGACAAAAATTGGGGGGAATGTAATTTTCCCCCATTTTGGGGGCCGCGTCCCCCTTCCCCCAACTGACAAAAATGGTGGGGTGACATTGCATGGTATGATGTCCCTACCTTAAGAAAGAAAACAAAAACGTGTCAGCCATCCCCCCCCCCCCCGATTGACGCCAATATCTGGATTAGCTATAGGAAACAACAAATAAACTGCAAATAACGATTTAAATGAGAAAAGTAGGCCTAATTAATGTGTGTGTTTTTTTAATTTAATTTGTTATTAAAGTTTCTAAGCATTTACCCGAAGAAAACGGTTAAATAAAAGTTTATCGAGATAAACATGAACGTGAAACTATTCGCCCCTTCGTAAAGGCCGCATTTACGTTGCAATATGCGCACGGGCAGGGCACCGAGTGGCATTACGAACTGGCGAATGTGTACATTCGTCACTTCGTAATATACATGCTTATGTGTATTGTGCGCGCAACCGTGGCTATACGTTGGACATTACGAACTGACGAATGATTTATTCGCCGCTTCGTAATGTCAGCGCTTCAGTACATAATACGCGCAAACGTATAAAACGCGTGGTATTACGAACCGACGAATGTTGTTTACACAAGGACAGCAGGCTCGCTAGTTTAGTTTGCTATAATATTTGTAAATCACTTAAAAGAGCAACTTTTATACTCCTCACCTTTTAAATATTTTTGGATTAGGAGTAACGTAACCCCTTTTATTTGGCGATGTAGTAAGTGCAATTTTCTTCAAACGCGATTATCTCCGAATGATGTTTGCGCACTAAATATTAACATTCGCCGGTTCGTAATGTCCGCGACGATGTATACGATGTCATGAAGAGGTTGGCGAATTTGCTACTTTCCAGCTGACAGACTTTCAATCTATTCTTTAAACCATGAACGAAGTTATTAAATCAATAGTAAACATCCAATAAAACAGGTATATTTAAAATAAATTAAAAATAGAAATACAAATTAAGCGCCTTTAGTTAGAGGCTACGTGTCAATTGCCCATTGTAAACTAAAGCAAAATAAACATCTGAAGTTCAAGATGTTTGATACTGTTAGCATTAAAATGAGGTTATCATCAATGGTTATTACATGTATTATAACTATTAATGTAAATTATATCATCATTGCTATCAATATTTGTTATTTGGGGGCTACCAACATTATGATTATTATTATTATTATTATTAATATTATTCACTGACTAAAGATGTGTACAATAAACTCACATTACATGATTCATCGTCTCCACATGTTTGCAACACTCGACGAGTTCAACCAAGTCTCCCTCGTCCGTGCCCTTTACTCTGGATAGACAAAGCCACTGCAGGTTCTTGGTTTGTTCTCTGATCAGAAGACCCAGTCCTCTCATCGTCTCTCTCGATACACTCTGCTTCTCGGATGGGAGTGATGGCGGTGCTGTAAGCTTGATGCGTGTGAGCTGATGTCCTCCGGTCCGACGAAGACCAGCCGTGATCTGAGATATGTCTCTCTCTGCATCATCGATAGTGATATCGATATCTCTCAAGCCAGGAAGCGATGAGAGCAGACCTTCATAGCTTTGTGACGTCACACTCTCAGCTGATAGCTTTGTGACGGATGGAAGCTCAGGAGGAGATGGAGGGAAACTGAGAGAGGAGTCTGAGATGCTGAGATGGTTCAGTGAGGTGTAGGATCTGAGACAGGACAATAATCTGACAGTCATCTCGGTAGATAGCTGGCATTTCTCTACGAGGAGTTGACCATTATCCTGGAATTAGAAAGTTATTTAATATGTTTAATTTAATAAACAACAAATATTGGAAATGGGAAGAATTGAAGGGAAGGCACCGTGCTTTATGAAGTTGACATTATAATTCAGAAGCAAAAACAAAAACATTTGTATTATTTATATTCTCTTAAAATATTGCTGTACCTGTCAAGAAAAATGTCACTGCCCCCCCCCCCCCCCCCTCTCTCTCTCTCTCTCTCAAGAAACGGGTCGTCTTTTTATAATTTCTCCAATGTTTTCCTAATCCATTCACCCCTTTGAATCCTTATGTTAGATCTCGATCCTTACATACATACTAAACACAGGGGATAATTTTCAGGAGGGTGGTTGTTCTCGGGCGTACTTTGTCCTACACCCATACAAACAGTTGCTTTAAAACATTTGAGTGATGAGGGTAATCTGTGCTCGGCATTTAAAGATAAACTTGAGTTCTGGTAAAAAAAGAAATTGAATTCTCACAGAATCTAACGAAACTTACACTGAATGTTCAAGATTACAAATAAATGTCATCTTCCAAACAATTTTGGAAGAAAATGTATACTGGCTGAGTAATGAGCATAGAAAGATAAGGAAATCAGGGTAGTACTAGCCCCGACACCATGTGTGTTGTCCCATATACATCTTTCTGTGTAAGTGATTGTAACTTTACCAAGACTCTGCCAAATTTATGAAGATTTTGATGACTCCAGAACCTTGCATTACACACCATTACTTACATGCTATATGATCAACTTTTCTGATCCATTCCACACCTTTTCTTTCACAATGCAATCGCATTACCAGAACTCAAGTTTATCTTTAAGTGATTCCATTGTTACGTACGGAAATCCATTAGTACCACCATGTGAATTACAATTTAAGAGGAATTAAGTGGCGGCTCCCACATAATTATTTTGAGACATTGCAAAGTAAATGATTATTATATCAATACATGTCCAGGAATATACGATCTCTCTTTCTCTTTCTCTCTCACTTTCTCTCTCTCTCTCTCTCTCTCTCTGTCTTTCTCTGTCTGTCTGTCTCCGCCTCTGTCTCTCTCTTTCTCCTTCTCACTTCCATCCTCCTTCTCCTCCTCTCCCTTTTCTACCTCTCTCTATTTTCCCCCGTGTATTCTGTAGCGTACATGCACACTTTTCTAGGGGGAACAATGTTTGCTGACTCATGTTTCCTATAATAGTACTCTGGTACTCCATTGTTCTCCCTCCCCCTCTTCCTCTCTTTCTCTCTCCTCCCCTCTCGCTCTATCTTTACCAGCTTTATTTGCTCTCACTCAATCTATCTCCATTTAACATTCTCCAGTATATTACCTCATTTTGCTTTCAACGGCTGTAATTAGTATTTGGACAGTATTAGATAATTTATCAACTGTATGTTTTGATCATACTATGCTGAAAATTAGTAACACTTTACAATTTTATATTTATTTTATGTCTTTCTTATGTTATTAACCTTTGATTTCCTTATCTTTGTTTGTTATGCAAATATGAGTTAAATATGTACTTATCAGGTCCATAGATATTGTATATACGTTTTTTGTTTGTGCAAGGCGCTCAGGGATAGCAGTTTGTTAACTGAAGAGGTAAGCCTGCTTTAAATAAAACGGTACAGATAATATACATATATATGGCCAATAAATCAATCACTTTGTTTTGCATACGTGTGAATCTGATCTGCGAATGACTGATTTTCATTTAGACAGTCAACCTGTCTCTTTATTGCATGATTGGTGAATGGCTCCAAACATACCGGTCATTCACGGTTTGTGTTAATGTTAATTTCAATTTTATGTTCAAGCTTTTGTAAATGTAGGGTCATCGGAAGCATAATCTTATAATTTTGTAGTTAACATGTACATGCAGCGCCTACATCCAATATGATATAACAATAGACAGGATGCCACTATATTTTTACAAACACGCTATACACATGATATACATTTAAATAAATGTATGTTACACTGTCTAATGATATACTTGAATTCCGTAACAGGACAATTACCCCCAAGGACAACCACCCCCGAAAAATTACCCTCCAAGGAAACCACCCCCCCCCCCGAGGACAATTACTCCCAGAAAATTACCCTCTAGGACAATTAATCCCCCCCCCCCCCCCGAGAACAACAAAGGACAACCACCCCTGAGGACAATTCCGCCCCCCCCCCCCCCGGAAAATTACCACCTGTTCATTAAATGGGAAGTTCATCCTGATAATAATTCGGTTTTTTTTTGTTCGGGGGGAGGGGTGATTGTCCAAAAGGGTAATTTTCAGGTGGGAATTGTCCTCTGAGTGGGAGGGGTGTGATTGTCCAAGGGGGTTATTTTCAGGGTGGGGTAATTGTCCCGTTGGTAATTTGCCAGGGGGAGGGAGGTGGGTGATTGTCCAGGGGGTAATTGTCCTAGAACCCTTGTATTCATGTAGCAATCGATATACTTAGTAGGTTACTTACATGCAAGGCAATCACCCTGAGTGACTTATTTAACTTGTTAAGACCAGTGATGTGAAGTCTTAGTCTACCGTCTGACTTTGTCCCACAGCCAAGAAGCCTGCAACATATAAATGAAGTGTAAATTGCGTATAAAACAGAGGAATTGAAAGAAGATGTTAATTGCACCCATTTGTAGATGAGTGCATGTACGGTTGAAGTGTACCGATCACCTGAATATTATTTGTGTACAGCTAGAATGTATAAAATCAACACGAAAATAAATGACCTGGCATTCTTTGGGTTAACGGTATGAAGTATGAAGAAATAAGTGACAACATAAATAGGGCGCGCACGGGACCGAATTCAGTCTTCGGTTCCATGCGCGCCCTATTCTTCTGCAAGCACATACGGATGCGTCGACAACTCTACCGCGAGGTGTCACTCTTCTAATTAATATACTTTTACAAATTGTATTTAAACATGCAACAGCGGCGGCGGTACCTCACAAGAGCCCCCTTTTAATTTCCAATAAGTGTCCCTTTCCCCTTCTCACCAATGCTCATATACTCTGACAAGTATCCCTATTTTAATTTGATAGGTGATCCTTTTGCTTTGACGAAATACCCATTTTCTTTAGTAGTAAATGCCAATTTTCAAGTGCGATAAGTGCCCCTGTTACTAGGGCAAACAGTGGCGTCGCTAAAGGAGGGATGTGGGGGTTCGACATCCCCCCCCCCCCACCTGTCGGGATTTTGCCGGTAAAATTGCGCTGCCGTCGGGAAAAATGAGAAAAGGAGGAGGGGGGAAAAAGAGAGGGAAAGGGAAAGAAAAGAAAAAAAAGAAAAGGAAAAGAAAGGAAAGAAAGGAAAGAAAGGAAAGAGAAAGGAAAGAAAGAGAAAAAAGAGGAAGGAGAGGAAAGGAAGTAAAGGAAAAGAGAGAAAAGAAAGAAAAGAAGAAAAGGAAAAGAAGAAGAAAAGAAAAGAAAAAGGAAACAAAAGAAACAGGGGGGGTGAAAGAGAGGAGAGAGAGGGGGTAAGAGCCTGTGAGAGGAGGGGTTGGAGTAAGAGAGAGAGAGGGGGTTGTTGGGTGGAGTCGCCTCGTCGAGGGAGCAAGAAAGAAACGCATAGATATGTTGCTGTGTCTGGTCAGCTATGTCGGTATTCTTGCTCGATCATCGTGCACTATATCAATGCAGAAGTTTGAAGTCGGTTAGATGTATTACGTCGGTCAGCCGGCAAATTTGGTTTCCCTACGAACTGTGACATTTTATTAGACAAAGTAAAAACTTTTTGAAATTCAGACAATGATTTAGAGTCGGGAACGGTAAAAAAAAAAAAGTCTTCTTTCTCTAATAATTTAATGAAACGTCAAAGCTTCCGTTAGCGCGGTAGGGGGGAAACTGAATTCAGACAAGGATCTAGAGTCGGGAACGGTAAAACGAATCGTCTTCTTTCTCTAATAATTTAATGAAACGTCAAAGCTTTCGCGCTTCGCGCAGGAGGGGGCGGTAATGAATTCAAACAAGGATTACGAGTAATAATTTAATAAAACGTCAAAGCTTTTGCGCTTCGCGCGGGAGGAGTGAAAATAAATTCAAACAAGGATTAAGAGTAATAATTATTTGATGAAACATCAATGCTTCCGCGCTTCGCGCGGGAGGGGGGGGGGGACTGAATTCAGACAAAGATTGCTGAGAGTCGAGAACCGTTTACAACGAATCGTCTTTTTTCTCTAATAATTTAATGAAATGTCAAAGCTTTCGCGCTTTGCGCGGGAGGGCCGAAAATTAATTCAAACAGGGATTTAGAGTAATAATTGAATGAAACATCAAAGCTTCCGCGCTTCGCGCGAAAGGGGGGAAACTGAATTCTGACAAGGATTACTGAGAGTCGAGAACCGTATACAACAAATCGTCTTCTTTCTCTAATAATTTAATGAAAAGACAATTAATGAAAAAACAAAAACAAAATCGTAATGGACGACCTAAAGAAGATGAACCCCCCCCCCCCCCCCCCCCATAAAAAAAAAAATAAAATAAAAAATCCAGCCCATTTGTTCCGGATAATGATACGGAGAAATTCACGTCATGTACATGTATACGATGTCATGAAGAGGTTGGCGAATGTGCTACTTTCCAGCTGACAGACTCTCAGCTATTCTTTGAACCCTGAACGAAGTTATTAAATCAATAGTAAACATCCAATAAACAGGTATATTTAAAATAAATTCACAACAAAAATACAAATTAAGCGCCTTTAGTTGGAGGCTATGTGTCAATTGCCCTATGTAAACTAAAGCAAAAACACCATCTGAAGTTCAAGATGTTTGATGCCGTTAGCATTAAAATGAGGTTATCATCAATGGCTATTACATGTATTATAACTATTAATGTTAATTATATCATCATTGTTATCAATACTCATTATTTGGGGGGCTACCAACATTATGATTATTATTATTATTATTATTAATATTATTCACTGACTAAAGATGTGTACAATAAACTCACATTAGATGATTCATCGTCTCCACATGTTTGCAACACTCCACGAGTTCAACCAAGTCTCCCTCGTCCGAGCCCTTCACTCTGGTTAGACGCAGCCACTGTAGGTTCTTGGTTTGTTCTCTGATCAGACGACCCAGTCCTCTCATCGTCTCTCTCGATACACTCTTCTTCTCTGATGGGAGTGAGTGCGGTGCTGTAAGGTCGATGCGTGTGAGCTGCTGTCCTCCGGTCCGACGAAGACCAGCCGTGATCTGAGGTATGTCTCTCTCTGCATCATCGAAAGTGATATCGATATCTCTTAGGCTGGGGAGCGTTGAAAGCAGACCTTCATAGCTTTGTGACGTCACACTCTCAGCTGATAGCTCTGTGACAGATGGAAGCTCAAGTTGAGATGGGGGGAAACTGAGAGAGGAGTCTGAGATGGTGAGACGGTTCAGTGAGGTGAAGGATCTGAGGCAGGACAATAATCTGGCAGTCATCTCGGTAGATAGCTGGCATTTCTCTACGAGGAGTTGACCATTATCCTGGAATTAGAAAGTAATTTGATATGTTAGCCATATAATAAACAACAAATATTGGAAATGGGAAGAATTGAAGGGAAGGCACCGTGCTTTATGAAGTTGACATTATAATTCAGAAGCAAAAACAAAAACATTTGTATTATTTATATTCTCTTAAAATATTGCTGTACCTGTCAAGAAAAATGTCATTGCCCCCCCCCCCCCTTCTCTCTCTCTCTCTCTCTCTTGAAGAAACGGGTCGTCTTTTTATAATTTCTCAAATGTTTTCCTAATCCATTCACCCCTTTGAATCCTTATGTTAGATCTCGATCCTTACATACATACTAAACACAGGGGGTAATTTTCAGGAGGGTGGTTGTTCTCGGGCGTACTTTGTCCTACACCCATACAACAGTTGCTTTAAAACATTTGAGTGATGGGAGAAATATGTGCTCGGCATTTAAGGGATTCCATTTTTACGTACGGAAATCCATTAGTACCACCATGTGAATTAAAATTTAAGAGGAATTAAGTGGCGACATTGCAAAGTATTAAAATGATTACTATATCAATACATGTCCAGGAATATATGATCTCTCTCTCTCTCTCTCTCTCTCTCTCTCACTTTCTCTCTCTCTCTCTCTCTCTCTGTCTTTCTCTTTCTTTCTCTGTCTGTCTGTCTCCGCCTATGTCTGTCTCTCTCTCCTTCTCACTTCCATCCTCCTTCTCCTCCTCTCCCTTTTCTACCTCTCTCCCATTTTCCCCGTGTATTCTGTAGCGTACATGTACACTTTTCTAGGGGGAACAATGTTTGCTGACTCATGTTTCCTGTAATACCCTGGTACTCCATTGTTCTCCCTCCCCCTCTTCCTCTCTTTCTCTCTCCTCCCATTTCGCTCTATCTTTACCAGCTTTATTTCCTCTCACTCAATCTATCTCCATTTAACATTCTCCAGTATAATATATTACCTCATTTTGCTTTCAACGGCTGTAATTAGTATTTGGACAGTATTAGATAATTTATCAACTGTATGTTTTGATCATACTATATATGCTGAAAATAAGTAACACTTTACAAATTTATATTTAGTTTATGTCTTTCTTATGTTATTAACCTTTGTTTTCCTTATCTTTGTTTGTTATGCAATTATGAGTTCAATATGTCTATAGATATTGTATATATGTTGTTTTTATTGTGCAGGGCGCTCAGGGATAGCAGTTTGTAAACTGAAGATGTAAGCCTGCTTAAAATAAAACGGTACAGATAATATACATATATATGGCCAATAAATCAATCTCTTTGTTTTGCATACATGTGAATCTGATCTGCGAATGGCTTATTTTCATTTACACCGTCAACCTGTCATTGCATGATATGACGGACCGGTGGGTTGGTGAATGGCTCCAAACATACCGGTCATTCACGGTTTGTGTTAATGTTAATTTCAATTTTATTTTCAAGCTTTTGTAAATGTAGGGTCATCGGAAGCATAATCTTATAATCTTGTAGTTAACATGTGCATGCAGCACCTACATCCAATATAATATAACAATAAACAGGATGCCACTATATTTTTACAAACACGCTATACACATGATATACATTTAAATACATTTATGTTACGCTGTCTAATGATATGTGATTGTCCAAGGGGGTTATTTACAGGGTGGGGTAATTGTCCCGTTGGTAATTTGCCAGGGGGAGGGAGGTGGGTGATTGTCCAGGGGGTCATTGTCCTAGAACCCTTGTATTCATGTAGCAATTGATATACTTAGTAGGTAACTTACATGCAAGGCAATCACCCTGAGTGACTTCTCTGACTTGTTAAGACCAGTGATGTGATGTCTTAGTCTACCGTCTGACTTTGTCCCACAGCCAAGAAGCCTGCAACATATAAATGAAGTGTAAATTGCGTATAAAAAGAGAAATGGAAAGAAGGTGTTAATTGCACCCATTTGTAGATGAGTGCATGTACGGTTGAAGTGTACCGATCACCTGAATATTATTTGTGTGCAGCTAGAATGTATAAAATCAACACGAAAATAAATGACTTGGCATTATTTGGGTTAACGGTATGAAGTATGAAGAAATAGGTGGCAATATAAATAGGCCGCGCACGAGGCCGAATTCGGTCTTCGGTTCCATGCGTGCCCTATTCTTCTGCAACCACGAGATATAACTTACACCCCCTTCACAAACACGGATTTTTATTCACGGATCTCTCACGGATCCTTGAGATTTGGCCACTATGTAGGTTTACATTACGACCGATTTAAGAGTTGTTACGAGTTATCGCGATGTATTAAGGCAAAGTTCCACGATCTGTCACGAGTTGTCACGGATACTTACGAGCAACTTACGTGTTACTTATTCTCCTTTCGTTAGTTCAAGTCATCTAGTTAATTAGGATTTCTGATAGCATTGTGTACATAATTGCATGGGGACATTACTGCATTTTCGAACACTTTAGCTGAGCTACCCTACTTTAGTAGAAGTGTCGAGTTTTATTTGTCCAGTCAACCTACACTGTTTCCACTAGTAGACTACTCCTGCTTTTCGGCATCTACAAATAACCTCCAGTTCTACTAGTGGTAAGTAACAATCGTTCATTCAAAGATTTTTTTACATATGTACGTCAAAGGCCAAAGGTCACAGCTCATTAAATATGCAAAAAGAGATAATTATGTACATGAGAAAAAGCTGCAGTAAATATAGTATTGTATAATAGAGGTAACTTGCTCTGACGTATATAGGCCATTGTACCTGGCGAGGGGATGCAACGCTTTGCATTGGTTGTTTAAATTGTTTTTTTTTAAACAGGCAACAGAGGCGGCACTCCAGCCGGTGTCCCTTTTCTTCTTAAAAGAGCCCCCCTTATTTTGTGTAAGTGCCCTTTCTTTTTCACTTTTTATACCCACAATTCCCCAGTTTTCTTTCCAATAAGTGCCCCGTTCCTGTTCGCATAAATGCTCTTATCACCTGTGATAAGTATCCCTATTCTAATCTGATAGTTGACCCTTTTGCTTTGACGAAATACCCATTTTCCTTAGTAATAAATGCCACTTTCTAGTGCGATATAACGTGTCCCTGTTATATACTATGGAACGTGTCCCTTTCCTTTCTATGAAGTGCCCCTTATCATCCGTAATGAGTGCCGATTTCTAGGTATGATAAATACCCATTTTGAGATCTGATAAGTGATCATTTTACTTTGACAGATGCCCATTTTCCTTTCTAATTCGTTATGTGTTTGCATAACACACGATTTATGCTTGTAACAAAATGTTCATTCATACACTCAAAGACCATGTGATATAGACATGTATGTTTTAATAAATGAATGATGTAGTAACATAAGTAGCCTGATCAGAACAAAATGTCGCACTCTGTACATATTTCCTACTTCTATGCGGAGTACAATACACGAAGAGTTGACATGATCGACCAAAGTGAAATGCATATTATGAATACGAATCCCAACGCACGAGGAAACATACACTTCTTTCAAAAATATAATCGTTCATATAGACTGACCTTCGACATTAAAGACACGCGTTTTTGCTTCATACTAATCAATTTATTTTGTCTTAAGGTTGACAATTATATTATTGGCATCACACCACTGATTAAATGTGATATTCTCAGTTATAACTACTAAATCAAGACAAGCTTTTCCAGGTGGAAAAAAGTGGTCAATTCAGCTGCAAACAATCTTTAATTGAGAAATTTAGTACATGTATAGGTCATTTAAATACATCATAACAACGAGTAGGGCCTTATGTGATAACAGAAACAAAATAAAACCGTTGAACACTTACATGCAAGACAGCAAGATGATTTGTTTCGGTATATTTCTAGCCTATTTGTTCCGGATAATGATACACATATATGTTTTGTACTGAACATATTGGCATTCAGACCCCTTGCTAGCTTTGAGAAATTCACGTCATCTGGTTGGTGAATTTGCTACTTTCTAGCTGACAGACTCTCAATTTATTCTTTGAACCATGAACGAAGTTATTAAATCAATAGTAAACATGCAATAAAACAGGTATATTTAAAATAAATTCACAACAAAAATACGAATTAAGCGCCTTTAGTTAGAGGCTATGTGTCAATTGCCCTATGTAAACTAAAGCAAAAACACCATCTGAAGTTCAATATGTTTGATACTGTTAGCATTAAAATGAGGTTATCATCAATGATTATTACAGGTACTATTAATGTTAATTATATCATCTATGTTATCAATACTCATTATTTATTTATTTATTTATTTTTTTTTTTTTTTTTTTTTTTTTTTATGTATTTATTTATTTATTTATTTATTATTATTATTATTTTTTTTTTTTTTTTTGGGGGGGGGGGGCTACCATCATTATGATTATTATTAGTATTATTAATATTATTAACTGACTAAAGATGTGTACCATTAACTCACATTAGATGATTCATCGTCTCCACATGTTTGCAACACTCGACGAGTTCAACCAAGTCTCCCTGGTCCGTGCCCTTCACTCTGGATAGACAAAGCCACTGCAGGTTCTTGGTTTGTTCTCTGATCAGAAGACCCAGTCCTCTCATCGTCTCGTTCGATACACTCTGCTTCTCTGATGGGAGTGATGACGGTGCTGCAAGGGTGATGTGTGTGAGCTGCTGTCCTCCGGTCCGACGAAGACCAGCCGTGATCTGAGGTATGTCTCTCTCTGCATCATCGATAGTGATATCGATATCTCTCAAGCCAGGAAGCGATGAGAGCAGACCTTCATAGCTTTGTGACGTCACTCTCTCGGCTGATAGCTCTGTGACGGATGGAAGCTCATGAGGAGATGGAGGGAAATTGAGAGAGGAGTCTGAGATGGTGAGATGGTTCAGTGAGGTGAAGGATCTGAGACAGGACCACAACTTCTCGGTCATCTCGGTAGGTAGCTGGCAGTCCTTTATAGTCAACATGTCAATCTATGGTGACATACAGAAAGAACAAGTAGTCATTGTTACATCATTACATTAGAGAGCCGCATGTAATTTCAGAGACAGAGGTCAAATTTATCCGTTAAACCTATCATTACTTCTTATTATCGAGTTCTTTTGAAACTTCATGTCAAACTACAAATAGTAATACATTTCATTAAAGAAAGATCTTGATGGTTTTGAGAGGAAAGGAGAAAAAAAGAAACAGCATTAACACAAAATTCCTAGAATCTTACAAATCATTTGAACTCATCGATCGACACGCGCTAAACTATCTTAATTCATTTCTTAGCTATAATTTTCTATGTAATCGTTTGGCTTATTTCATTAATTTTTAATTTTCAATAGAAAAATGTACAATATCAAAAAGGAAACGATACCTACTGTATACATTTTCAACTGTATTTAGTTCCTTCCCACAAGTTTGTTAGAATTATAATTGTAATATACTACGGGGCCTATAGCCAACAAGCTATGCTTTTACCTTAGGCTCATTAATATCCCCATTTTCAAATTTGAATTAGTTGTTAATTAACAAATAACTACAAGCAAACCAAAGTCATTTAATACATTTGATGTACTTGTGTTTATTGCGAATACCTGTGTACTGTCAATATATTTATATTTCTAGCATAAACACATCTGACAACGTATAATGTTAAGTGTGATATATGAATACATACCAAACTGAAGTAAATTCATTGTTTTAAAGAATACTATTTCCGATAATCCAACTCCCTATTTGGTAGAAAGTGTGAAATGCTTTCTTAAATATTAAGAAACGAATGAGGCGCATATATGGACACGTACAATTAGAGCATACTTACATTTGATACATGTTTAGCTGAGTTTAGCGACCCAGAAAACCTAAATCATTTCAAAGAGATGAAGAAGTGGGGAGAAAGAAAGAGCCAGTTTAAACAATTGTGAATAACAATTTACATAATTGAGCCGATTTACATATTTCAAAAGTCAAACAATTTTCTTATAGGGCTTTTTTTGTGTATTATCTGCTTTGACATCTTCTTAAAAATGTTGAGAATAATGTGTATTTATTAATGATGATGTTTTGTTCAGCCTTGCGACTGAAAGCAGGTTCTTTTTATCCTCGTATTGAAATAAATAAAACAAAATCAAAACCTTACATGACCTTTGTCTTAACATAACACCAGTAACTATCATCTTTGGTACTCAATGACTCGTTATCCAAGTTAAATCGGCTTCAGGTGGATACTTTGGTAATGAATTGACTGGTGTAACACATCAGCCTAGCCAATGAAATTAAAGGCCCATTTCAATGCCGAATGATGGGTAAACAAAAAGGGGGGGGGTAAACAAGCTTTCAATCGATTTTACTTGACATAATAGTTACTCACTGTTCAAAATACAGACTCGTTATCCAAGTTAAATCGGCTTCAGGTGGATACTTTGGTAATGAATCGACCGGTGTAACACATCAGCCTAGCCAATGAAATAAAAGGCCCATTTCAATGCCGAACGCCCCGAACGAGGGGAAAATAAGGGGAGGGGGGGGGTAAACAAACTTTCAATCAATTTTACTTGACATAACAGTTACTCACTCTTCAACATACAGACTAGCTGACATTAAACGCGTTGAAGACTGGACAAGATCGATCACTGCATCCTCGAGTCCGAAAACAACTCCGGACAATATCGCCTGAGATTTTGTGATAAGAAGACCCAGTCCTCTCATCGTCATTCTCGAAATGCTTGATACATTCTCCTCTGATTGGAGAGAAGAAAGGTCGATGCTTGTGAGATCCTGTCCTGTCAGAAGTCGACTTAGACTAGTCTGGATCTGAGATATGTCTTCTGTCCTTGCATCTCCGATAGAGATATCGACCTCTTCCAAGCCGTGAAGCGATGAGAGCAGACCTGTATAGCTTTGTGACGTCACTCTCTCGGCTGATAGCTTTGTGACGGATGGAAGCTCAGGAGGAGATGGGGGGAAACTGAGAGAGGAGTCTGAGATGGTGAGATGGTTCAGTGAGGTGAAGGATTTGAAGCAGGACAACAACTTTTCTGTCATCTCAGTAGATAGCTGGCATTGCTCTATCTGAAGCCTAGTATTCTGCAATTAATTACAAATAGACAAACCTTTTCACTTTTATATACATTGATCTATATATTGAGACTAAACGTGTGGACATATATAGAATCCCACGTCAGAGAAGCTGAAAGTACAAATATTAAATTCATATTCCGATAATTAATTGAGTTCTTTCAACAACAAAAAATGCAACTGTATAGCAACTCCCTTTTATTATAGTTAAATTCAGAGGATATCCCTTTGCTGAATATTTCAAATCGAAATGCATGCACCCGTAAAGGAAAAGTCACTCACCTGAACGGTGTTCTTTTTGTTCACAGATTCACCTCCACTGCAACAAAAAATATTTAAAAAGGAATGAATGTGATTCAAGTAAATCTTGGGAAACGATATTACATCAATAAAGATTGCAAGTGAATTGTACATCCCCTCTTTACAGAGGTAAATGAAAGCAACAATACTAACAATAACAATAATGATAATAATCATATTATTATAATGGTAATAATCATAACAAATGTAACCATGATCATGATATCAATAATAAAAAGAACATCCATAAAATACCATAAATACATTATTTGGTGTTCATGCCGTCTTCAAATTAAAAAGCGCCATTAACACAAAGATCTGTAGTGACCAAAATTCGCGGAGATTTTCGAAAATATATTAGAAAATGTGATATTCGATCCATGATTTCTCATATTCTACACAAATATATTTATTTCAATTATTAGCAAATGGACGGCAAAGTTTTTAACTACGAATTGGTGCAACTACAAAATGTATCGTCAAAGGATTCAGGAGATATCGCGATCTAAAATTCGGTGCCCGATTGGCGTGCGCGCTGCAGGCAACTCACGAAAAAGTCATAACAACAACGAGACCTTACTTCGTGCACGCGGGTTACATCTGATTTATCAGAAAATTCAATCGATCAAATGTAAGATAATTGGATATTTTGCAAGGAAAATTATCATACAATCAGTTACTATCAGGCGTGGTGATGTTTAGAGGGGATCGTACCCCCCCCCCCCCCTGGAAAATTTGAAAAGTGCACACACAAAAATGTATAGCAAATACTGACTAAAGACAGTCAAAGACTGCCAAACTCTTTCTTTGTTAGGCTCTGGAGGGCCCAAGCAGGGCCCAAGAGTGCAGCGTTTGGACTAGGCCTAATACAAATGCAAAAATGTTCTCGCTCGGTCGCTAGATACGCTCCCTCGCATAATGTCCTTCAAAATGTACAAGTAAATAGTGTGGAAAATCTGTATTTCGTTGGTATCACGTAAGCACAGTTTACACTGTATGTTTTCAGGATTAAGAGTAATAGAAATAGATCAGTGCTAAAAAATGAATAGACCCTGCTCCGCTCGCTCTTTTTATTAGGCCTAACGTTAGATCTAAGTTTTATTTTTTAAGGAGTCCCTTCCAGCCTGGTTATACAAATATTGTCGCCTGACTTCCTTAGGTAAGGGGGAATGGTGTACATCTTTCTAAAAAATAGTATTATTAAGTCAAAATCAAGGCCCTTAATTACATGACTAGATTCTAGAGTCTAGACCTAACTTTAGAATCTAATTTCTACTAAAATTTACCTAGATTCTAGATCTAGACCTAGTCTACTAAATATTTACAACCCTTCGGACTGCACACCAATTACCGGCAATGTAAAAGTGAAGTGTGATGTAGTAGGAGTTGCCCCCACCCCCATACAAGCCTCCTACCACAAGAGGGCGCCATTGGCCTTCTCGCACTGGGACGACAAGCTCGTACCAGCTTCTAGCACAAGAGGGCGACATTGGCTTTCACTAAGTGGGACAAGAGATGGAGAACTGACATAGACTGACTGGTACACGTTGAGATACACTCCGAGTAACTAGACCGGTAAGTGAACGTTCTTTGTAGCATTTAAGTATTGTAACTACGTAGCCTATGATCCATAGGTCATCGGTCATTTGTAGCATTTAAGTATTGTAACTACGTAGCCTATGATCCATAGGTCAGGGCTACTTCATTGGCGCTGCGAGCAAATTGCTTTCTTGCATTTGCGGTGATTTTTAAGATTTGTGATTTTTGCACAGCGAGCACGGCTGCCCTAAAGCATAGGTAAAACATATGCGGTCCGATGCGCTGGGCTAAGCTGCTCGCTGTGAATTTGATATAATCAGTAGACTAGATTTTAAGTTGAATTTCGAATTTTCGTCTTGGGCAGGGCGGATTACTCTGCTTTGCCTATTTCGTAATTTTTGGTGTATAATTCTTTGTTGTTTCGTGTGGGTGTTTCGGGCCAGGCTGTAATATTAGCCCGGTTTGGGACATTTTTGCTGTGATTTTTTTTGGTCGGTCGTCTGCTCTCGCAAACTCCAAGTGTAGTTCCGTCACGGCTGTATGCGTGCCTGGACTTTTTCACTGGGGGTTTGAGGGCAGTGCGATTCGAGTGTGCGTGTTTGAATTTTCTGTAGCGAGTGTTTGAACTTTGTTTGTGGTGTGGGGTGCCTGATTAGGCATCTTTTTGTGTTGAGCGGTTGTTTTGTACGTGAGTTCGAGCCAGGCTGTAATATTAGCCCGGTTTAAAACATTTTTCAAGTGCGTGCTATATTTCTTGAGCGCGCAGGTTTTGGAGCCTGCCGGTCGTGGCACAGCGCTTTGTTACACACTACAGCGTATTTGATTCGCGGAGGGATATTTTTTAGTCCTTCTCCTCACGATCGACGCCATTTTGTTTTTGGTTGTTGGCTGTTCGCCGACGGGACCTGGATCTCTTAAATCTAGGACCTAGACCTGATTTTAGGGTTGATAGCAGTAGGCTGTCTATAGTATTTTAGGTGCGTGAGTGTTTGGTTTTGGTGCGTGTTGTGTGTGGATCCACCCACTCAGTGTAGTGCGGGAGTCCTTTCAAATAAATAAAAAAAAATCGTGCGGTGTGATTATCCGTGTTGGAGTGATGTGAGTAAACAGCACCTAGTTAAGAATTCAGGGAACTTATTTTTCCGTCGGGTTATTTCCCCGACGTAACTTAGTTGTAATTTTAGTAGACTAGTCTAGGCCTAAGGCTTTTGCGATTATGGGGTCGCTATGACATATAGGGAGGCTAAGATCCCTATTAATAGGTGTTCTTTTGAAGAACTCCTCGCAGACGTGCCGGGGCTAGCTCCTTTGCAGGCCGGGATCATGTTGGGTCTCCGGACTGAACACGGGAATATTACCCCGGGATTATTTTGGGCGTCCCCAGGGCTAGTAGAGTCCAGGGGGCTGCTAGACAGGTTCGACTTTGCTCCTCGGGAGAGTACCCGGGGGGCAGAGGGGGTTCCCAATCAGAGTGTTTTTGTCACTCCGTCGGGGCAGCGTGCCCTGAGCACCAGCATCCCCTGCGGAGCCCAGGCCCAGGTGGGGGGACACCAATACCCCTATGATGTATATCCGTCTCCCTTGGTTAACCGAGGGGATGTATCGGGTAGGCCCCAGAGGGGCAGTCCCATCCCAGGGTATCAGAGGGGTCGGCTAGGCTTAGGGCCCCTCCCCTTTCCCGAAGAACCGATCCGTCGGGGTCCTGCTCCCAGGAGGGATGGGAAGGGGGGAAACGCTGGTAGAGTATCCTACCAGCTACTCCCCTTTTTTGATGGGCGCGGAAACTGGAGGGCTTTTCTCCATAAATTCACTGCGTTTGCGGACCAGCAGGAATGGGATGGGGCCCAGAGAGTGAATCAGCTAACCTGGTGTCTAGAGGGGAAAGCGGGAGATTATTTGAGCCTGACTCTGGAACAAGAGCCGGGTCTGAAGTATTTCCCGCTGGTCCGAAAATTGGCGCAGCGCTTCGATCACGGCGGGTTGACGGAATCTGCTCAACTCGAGTTTGCGTATGCCAGGCAGGGGCCAGAGGAATCCTTGCTTGAGTGGTCTGATCGGGTGTTCGGGTTAGCTCTCCGAGCATTCCCTGGGGTCCAGGGGTCCTATTCGCACCAGCAGGCGGTCCTCCGCCTGTGTCGAGGGTGTTTGAACCGGGAGGCGGGATGTCACGCGCTGGCTCAGCATCCCGCCACCGTTGAAGAGGCAGTAGGGCATATACAGTGGCACCAGCATGTGCACCGAGCCATGTACCAGCGGGGGTGTCCTGTTAATTCGGTTGCCTTTGAGGATGCGGGGGAAATTGAAGTCCGCCAAGTGGATTTATCCCCCCAACCTCCTAGTCGACCTGAAGACGGACAACTCGCTGCAGTAGAACGCCGAATGGTGGAGCGCCAGGGCCGCCTAGAGGCCCGGGTAGCTAACATGGAGCCCAGGGTAGCTAACATAGAGCGGGATGTCCGGAGGATCCTAGATACCCTACAGTCAAGGCCGGCGGCTTCCCGGGAAAGAGCCAAGTCCCCGGGGGGTGACCGGTGTTATGCTTGCGGGGGGCACGGGCACTTCCGGAACCAATGTCCCACAGCTCGTGGCGACAGAGGGAATGTGCGTGTTTCCTTTGTCAACTGCCCCGAAGTGGAAAGCCCCAGCGGGTCGGAGGAGGAGACCAGCCCCCGACCCGAACGAGGCCAGCTAGTGACCGGGACGCCGGGAGGACGGGCAGTTATTCCCCAGGCAGCTGTTAAGCATGTGGGGGAGCCTGTTTCCGGTGAAACTGGGTTGAATGAAACCTCCACGAAACTTCCGATTCCTCCACAGGTGGTCGGGTCGCTGGACCCGATGCCAGGTCCCACCTCGGATCCGGAGTCGGGATCGGAGGAAAAAACGGAGGTAGTGGTTTGCCGGCTGCATTCCAGTTCCTCTCTTAATATCCCTATAGTGATAGGGGGTTTCCCCCTTAGGGCAATAGTGGATACGGCGGCTGAGGTGACTATCATCTCGGATCGGGTGCTTCAGCATCTGAAAACGCAGCCCAAAAGACTGCGGAAGGCCGTATTACATGCTCCAGGTAGGGATATAAGCATGAGGGGGTCAGTAGTGGGGCCGGTGAGCATTCTGTTGGGGGGACAAGAGTTCCCCAAGCAGTTGTATGTTGCACCCATTTCAGACGACATGTTGCTGGGAAGGGATTTTCTCCATAAACATAGGGCGGTGATTCACATGCATCATCCCAGGTTACTGCTAGGGGAAGTGGAAATTCCCATGCAGCATGGGGATAACCCCAGGCGGATGGGTGTAGCAAGGGTGTATGCCCGCAAGAGGGTAATCCTTCCTCCCAATGCCGTTAAGAGGGTGACTGGGGTTATCGACCAACGGATAGGGGATTTTGTGTTTGGACCACTGCTAAACCCTGTTCCTTATATGGGGCGGGGAAGAGTGCGGAGGTAAGAGAGTTGGTAGCCCGGACACGGGGTAACCGTCTCCAGGCTCTCCTAGAGCAGACTCGGGTTAACGCCCAAGCGCTCTATGGCCCGTTAGGTCGGGTGTGCACGGGAACTTCTGTTCCTGTAGCACTAAGTTTTCAGGGTGCGCTTGAAGGTGGGAACTATTGAGTTCCTATCTCCTTGTTTTTGCTACATTAGCTACGGGAACTTCTGTTCCTGTAGCGCTAAGTTTTCATGGTGCGTGTGAGGGTGGGAACTATTTAGTTCCTATCTCCTTGTTTTTGCTACATTAACAAAAACATATACCGTAGGTCGGGTGTGCACGGGAACTTCTGTTCCTGCAGCACTAGGGGTCCGTTAAATTTTCAGGGTATACTTGAGGTGGGGATTATTTAGTCCCTATCACCTTGTTTTTGCTACATTAGCAAGAACATATACCGTATGTCAGTAAGTTTTTTGGATTTTTAGTATTTTTTCCCTAAATGCCCGTTGGCATATGTTTTGGTTGTTCCAGGGGGGACTTTTTTCCAAATGGCCCGCTCCGTGCTATAGCGGAACTGACGCCTCCTTCCTGCGCCGGAGTGACCTAGGTGGGTTTCTGGTTCTCCAGTCACACTCCGAAAAACCTGAGTAATATACCCCTCGGGTAGGTAAGATGGCGTCATAGCCTGGGAGGACAAGCGGATGGTTCCCCGCTATGGGGGCGTGGATTGTTTTGGGTAGGGAATCTCCCCCTGGCAATTGTAGTGTTAAGCATTAAGTATGTTGGTTTTTTAATGAATAAAACAAAAATATTTTCATGTTGTATTACCCCGTGTTTTGCTCGTTTGGGGTCAAGTTTGGCATGTTTAATACATGTTTTTAGATTAGGATGTTGTACGGCCACAAGGGAGGGTAAAGCATAATTATTATTTTTTTTTTCCCTCTGTCCGGTTGTGGGTAAGATATTTCACTGGGTTTATTTCAATTGGTCCTGGGTTTTTTAAAACGGGGGGGAATGTAGTAGGAGTTGCCCCCACCCCCATACAAGCCTCCTACCACAAGAGGGCGCCATTGGCCTTCTCGCACTGGGACGACAAGCTCGTACCAGCTTCTAGCACAAGAGGGCGACATTGGCCTTCACTAAGTGGGACAAGAGATGGAGAACTGACATAGACTGACTGGTACACGTTGAGATACACTCCGAGTAACTAGACCGGTAAGTGAACGTTCTTTGTCTCATTTGTAGCATTTAAGTATTGTAACTACGTAGCCTATGATCCATAGGTCAGGGCTACTTCAGTGACAAAAGCATATTGCTTGTTTGTATAGCCACTACTATAGCCTAGGCCTAGACTAACAAGATCTAGACCTATAGATCTAGAGGTCTAGTTTTGCTAAAGAATGTAGATCTAGTCTAGACTCTAACAAAGTTAGATCTAGGCTAATGTTTTAATCCAACAAAACTTGTGAAATGTGAAAGTGTATTAGGCCTAAAGGGGGTAGCCTATAGGTCTAGGCCTAGTCACTTCCGTCACCTTCGCCCCTCTCGTTCACTAGATCTAACAAAGTTAGATCTAGTCTAGACCTCTACTAGTCTAGGGTCTATGCTCCCTTGTCCCTCGCACTTTGTCGCCCCGGTCATGAATATAAATCGCCGCCCCTGGTTGGTACTACTTTTTATTTACAATTTTGATGATATTTGCTCTCAAAATAAAGATTTAGATCTAGAATAGGTCTACAAACCCTTGTCGGCAAGTTCATATTTTTTTCGGAACGGACGCAAAAGACTGCAAAATTTGCCGATCTTATGTCAATATTGTGCTTAGGCCTAGGCTTAGTCTATTTAGATCTAGAGTCTAGGCATAGATCTAGAGCTAGAGTCTATAACCTCCAATTCCATTAAAAAAAAATCGTCTCTCTGTAATTTTAGGTTTTTATTTCCATTGGCATTAGGGCCTAGATCTAGATCTAATGATATCAGACTTTCGAAATGTTACCGATTTGTTGAGATAGCGAACTATGGTCACACCACCATACTTGAATAAAGATCTAGATCTAGAGTCTAGGTCTAGACTTCTAGATCTAGATCTACCTAGTAGTAGAATCTAGACCTAGATTTAGATCTAGTCTAGGGATCTACACCTCTAGTAGTAGATCTATACCTACCCCAAATTCAAGTACGTTAGTTGTTTAGTCTTGACAAACAGGTCCACCAAGGCTTCTTCGTCTCTGCCCCTCCCCCCGGACACATGCAGCCGCTGTTGGTTTTCGGTTTGGTCTTCAAATAGAAGACTAAGCCCTCCAATTGACTCTCCTGATTTAATCTTCCTGTCTGCGCCGAGTGCTGGCAAGGCGTGTAGTCTAATATGAACAACGAACTGTTCATCCCTAGCACTAGTCTGATTCATAGGCCTGGATGCGATGGTGTTGCTCGTCTCTGCAACATCGATAGAGACATCAATATCTCTAACTCTAGGTATCGATGAGAGCAGACCTTCATAGCTTTGTGACGTCACTCTCTCAGCTGATAGCTTTGTGACTGATTGAAGCTCAGGAGGAAATGGAGGGAAACTGAGAGAGGAGTCTGAGATGATGAGATGGTTCAGAGAGGTGAAGGATCTGAGACAGGACCACATTCTGGCAGTCATCTCAGTAGATAGCCGACATTTCTTTACCTGCAGGACGGATAACACAGAGAGAAGATTTTTATTTTCACGTAAATGCTATTATGCGAAACCGGGTACATAATGAGACCCCCCCCTTTTTTTTTGGATTAAAGCTTAACGGTGGGTGGACATTAAATGAATAATGATAATACCAGTATACATGACTGGTAGGGCGCACAGCGATCTCGGGCATATGATAACGCGGGAAAATGTAACTCACTTGTGTGTGTTTTTTTTTTTTTGGTATTCTTTTAATCCAATTAGTATAATATAGCCTTGATTGCACTTCGGTAACATGAATTAATGGTAATCGTCATCTCATGCCTTGTGTTTTTTTTCTCGGGCCGACCAGCCTTAGTGCAAATGGGCGCTGATGTGGCATTGCAGACAATGGGTACGCGTATAGGGTTGTTTGAATAGGGTATGACGCAAACAATACACTAATTTCACCATAATGTTCACCATCGACAACTGACCGAAAGAGAAATATGCTAATTACAATCATCACCATCGATATCACGTGACTAGCTGTGGCCCGATCACAGCTTTGTATCTGTAAGAGCTATTTGTGATTGTTTAACCTAAACAAAAAGTATATTTGCATTTTCCCGTCAGGCGCAAATATTAAATTTATTTCCTAAATATTTGTAGTCGTATATTATTAGTTTAAGATATTTGCTTACCTGGAAACCCGATTCTCGATCGTATTCGAAACATCTACCATCAAGAAATCTATAGGAATTGAAAAAGAGAGTTGAAAGCGAAGACAAGAAAAACAACACATAAACTATGGGAATTGTGTTGGGGGCAGTGGCGTATGCATGATTCTTTTCAAGGGGAGGGTTTTTACAATTTGAAAATCGCGCCGATTTTGTTGTTGTTTAACCTTTAACAAATGTTATGGGGGGTTAACCCCCCCCCCCCCCCCCCCTGCGTATGCGCCTGTTTGGGGGATTCATGAAGTATCGGACACGGCCTGTAAGTACCGTTTGATACAAACATGCAGAAGGTTCTAGTTAGTTGAATATACATGTATATATATACATAAGTATAATAAAGAGATCATTAAGACTTTAAACAAAATATAGCATGACAAACAATGACAGGCGTTGTGAATACTGAATAGTACCGTGACAAATGCGAGTTGAAAGAAAATAACTGCTTACAAATGTGTAAATGTTTACATTGTCAGTATGGGATGCAATAGGGATATGAGAACAATATAATAAAGATACTCCAAGACCCCCACAATACACAAATCCCTCGAGAAGGCCTTAGAGCTAGCTGGGGTGGATTAAAGGATTCCCATGGAAAATTATCGCATTTAATACATTATAGTATTTGCATGCCCCCTCCTTTCAGGTGGTAGGTCTATGTTTCATCTCACCAATTTCAAATATATTTGTAATTTCAAGCAGTTTGTGTAGTGTGTTTATTTTTACGGATCTTGAATTGATAGTTCGTAATACGTGCAAAGATGTTAAAGAGATGGTTCATTGAAATGTGGAAAATGGGCAAATTACACCTCTACAGATTGCTGAGAACATTAACAAAATGAGCAAAGTACATTTGAAGCCCTCACTGTTGTGAGGAATAAATTATATACAATTTTGTTACCCTTTCCTGAACCCACTCACAAAGTGAATTGACGGCGTTATTTTACATGCGAACCGATGACGTCACAATATGAACAACCTACAACACACATTCGGGACAATGTTGGATACCCATTGCAATTTTCAGATATGGGTTAACGTTGTTTGTATATTTACCGCTAGTGGTGATATTTCCTCTATTTTTGGCATCTTGAATGAGATACACTGAATAAATGATACTTTATACAAATTTTGTTTGATTTTTATATTTTTTCCCGTCACATTCGAGCATGAAAATCGGAAAACTAATCACATATTCTGAGGGCACTTCAGCGTCTGGGAAGGCAAAGGACATTTTGCATGCTGCCCTAACGACTCTTTTGGAGTAATGTATAGGCGACAAATTTACATAGAATTGTCCAGATATTCATTACAAAAATGTGTGATTAGGCTGATTAATTTACATTTTTGATAAATTAAGTCGTAGGACCTGATAAACCGAGAGAAACAGATCAGTCCGGTTCGCGATTCACTAGCTCGAGCGCCGGGCTACGGGCTAGGCTGGCTAGCAAGCTGCGCTAGATGTGATGCACGCATACCGCGTACGTGCGATATTGCACACACAGAGTACGCACGCACAGCTACTCGCTAGCTACGGGAAACTTGAACGCTACATACATCGACGATATATTCACTCGCTTTTTGGAAGTTATATACCATTTATCTAGACTAAAGTCAGATTAAGAACCAAAACCATGCCATGGAGGAGCCTTCTTCTATCTCCTCAAAACTCAAATCAAGTATGTTTTCGTCAATATCCATATTTCCAGGGGATTTTGATGAAGGTAAACAGCGTTAGGTATAAATGGGTACGGTACTCGAGAGTCAATGCAATACATGTGAATAGCACGCAAACTGTATCTCGCACCGTCGTCAATCATTTCAGCTGAGCGGCCCGCTGTTCATATTGTGTCGTCACTTCAAAAATCAGCTGACTTACGATGTTTTCGGGGCGTTGGGTGGGTTGATTTTTCGTCAAGTTCAATCAACTTTTATAAATTTCGCTCGAATGTACAAGTTACACAAATGTAATGATTTTACTCAGTGTAATTTTTCGATTGCAATGATACCAAATTCAGTCAAGTTTGAAATCAATAAACCATCTCTTTAACATACAATTTGATGAAACAAAAGCACACAAAAACTAAACTATTATTCGCCTTTAATAGTTTACAGTTGGACTTCTTGTTTGATTTTGTCCACTTTAATTTCATTGATACATGTATAAACATCTACTCAAACTCACTGTAAATGCAGACTATCCAATGCTTTCAAAGTTGACGACTCGACAAGTTCAACCAAGTCTTCTTCGCCCAAGCCCTTCACTCCGGACAGACAAAGCCGCTGCAGTTCCTTGGTTTGATCTCTGATCAGAAGACCCAGTCCTCTCACCGTCTCTCTCGATACTCTGTTTTTCTCTGATGGGAGTGATGATGGTGCTGTTAGCTCGATGCGTGTGAGCTGCTGTCCTCCGGTCCGACGAAGACCAGCCGTGATCTGAGATATGTCTCTCTCTGCATCATCGATAGTGATATCGATATCTCTCAAGCCAGGAAGCGATGAGATCAGACCTTCATAGCTTTGTGACGTCACTCTCTCGGCTGCTAGCTTTGTGACGGATGGAAGCTCCGGAGCAGATGGGGGGAAAACAAGAGAGGAGTCCGAGATGGTGAGAGTATGTAGCATCGAAAATGATCCGAGGCATGACCATAGTCCACTCGTCACGTCGGTAGTTAGAGTAGATCCCTCGAACGTTATAGTCCTTACCTGGTGTTAAGATATATACAGATAGAGAGTGAGGGATAGACAGAGATATTGGAGAGAAAGGGGTGAGAACGAGAGAAAGGGAATAGGTGAGAGAGAGAAAGAGAGATCGAGGGTGAGTGAGAGAGAGAGATAAAAGTAGAGAGAGAATTGAAGAAAGATTGTACAAATATATTACAGGGAGTGTACCATGGCATCTACGTCTTCTTTTGGACAACTGCACGTGAACGAATGGACTTGATTAACGGAATATGATTCATGAAATGCATTAACATTACGGTAGGGGAAATGGACATAGCCTCTGAACGTTACATGTTCATTGTACTTCTCATATTACTCCTGTTTTGTCTTCACTACATTGGTTCCCTGTTGAATCCCGTATCGTATTCAAATTATCTTTGCTTGTTTTTTTACTGTATACATGGATCTGCACCAAAGTAAAACTTTTTGATGCGTTATAATCCTCCAAGATGCTTAAAATCTTCCGATTCTAAATAGCTTGTTGTTCCGAAAACCAAGCAATCATGGGGGGGGGGGGGTCGATCATTTACACACGCTAGACCTTATACCTATGGAATCAATTGCCACAATATATTCCTTATATTTCAAGTGTAGGTTGCTTTAAGAATGCCCTCAAAACTCATTTGTTCAAAGCGGCTCTCCAGTAGATTTGCTTTCACATTGTGTTTGTCCCATTTTGGTGTATTTTCGTGTACTTGTAATTTTTCTTCTCCATTGCGCCTCGAACACATTAGTCATGTAGAGTTGGCGCGTTACAATTACTTTATATTATTATTATTATTGTGTGCTTCAATTCATTCGTAAGGCTTAATCAGACGCGGTTATATATAATAATCAATACATAATACATGAGAAAATACTTAGCTCCTTTAATATACAGTTATGACAGAAGAACGACACGTTCTTCCATTACTATGTTGTTCACAACTACATTTTTTGTCAAAAGTCCGGTTATTTGAAATGTGCATACCTCATGTTTCATTTGCTGTGGAAGATTTTGCATCCCAACGACGGTGTAGACAGTCGGTGACTTTAGAACAATACTCTGTGCAGTTACGCATCTTTCAACAAACGAAGACACATTTTCTTCAGTACCCTTGGTCTCTGATGAGCAGTCAAGAATAATGCGATATCGTTCGCTCTCATCCAAATAACTGTTTGAAAGGAGCGCCTCCATTATTCGTATACAGAGGCTGTTATCCGTGCCAGCCGCGAATCGGATGAGATTTTCATAGTCGCCGATGTTTGCGTTGATCTTGAGCATTACTCTGTCTAAATTGGAAGTCTGCCAGGGCCATTGACGCTTTCTCGATTTAGCTTTAGCAGCAAGGTATTTCCCAGCCGAGTGTTCTTGAGCGAGTTTGTGATAAAACTCAATGGTTATGGCAGTGTTCTTGTCAGATCGTTGGAGCCGTGTGGTTATAACAGATATCTTGGATACTATTCCAAGATCGCATGCCCTATCAAGGATAGAGGGAACTCTTCGGAAATCATGGGGCGTGAAGACTAGTTTTTTAGAGTCGTCGAGTAGACCAGCTAGAGCAACCTTACCCAGTTTACGAATGATTTCGATTAGTTCTTCTTCTGTTATGCTGTCTGTTGATGTTGCTCGGGCATTGGCATGGTGCATCAGAAAATCATTCACGCTGTCTAATAATTCTGTTTGAGTTGCAGTTTCAGAGTTCAAACGCCCGTCGCTCCATAAATGACAGACCATGAGACAAAATAGAGGTGTTTTAGCAAGTTCATCAATAAGTGGTTGGCCATCAAGGTAAACCTTCAGACCATGCCCACTATCAGGACTCGATGTCGAAGCAAAGAACTTGTTGATGTACTCACGTGAGCTCTCTTGCGAGAATCCTTCGATCCACATCTTTGTGTATACCGTTGAAAGATCATTTTGATTGAAGAAGTTCTCAAGGTGAGGGCGTGTTGTTACAAGGACCCGACACTCTGGAAATTCCTCCCAGCGGATGACTTTGACCATATTGCTCTCTAAGCTTCGGTTTGAAGAAGAAATACCGGCATACTCATCTAGTCCGTCTAGTATGATGTGACAGATTCCCTGATTCTCTCTAATGAAACTCTCCAGACCCTCTGGTGTGAGATCATCAACATCACTCAAAAGCTGGGATTTAATTGCTTCTCCGATCGATGTACGCTGACTTGTGTTTCGGAATTTCACAACAAACAGAAGTGGCAGTAGTTCTAATGCTGACCCCTTTTCTCTGTGAACCCAGTCGTAAGCCATCTTAGCAACAGCCGTAGTCTTCCCTCGTCCAGCTGGGGCCGAAATGAGGATTCGAGCTGGCAGTCTTCCGTTTACTTTCTTCGAAAATATTTCAGCAACAGAACCCTGGAGTTTTTCCTTCATTTTCTTGTCTTTTCCACGACCGTCCTTCTTCACCATTGTGACGACCGTGTGCATATCTTTGAACTCAGCATAATCACTTTGATCCCACGGTTTCATTTGAATTTTGCACAATTGATTAAGGTACTTATTCTCCAACTTTTCGCGACATCGCTGAACAGTCAATGATGGCGAGATCTTCTTACTGTAGATATCTGGAATGATGCAAGCATATAAGACAACAATTAATATTGCACTCCCACAATATCAGCCCCTTCACACTCCGACCCAGTAGGGTTCGTTAAGTTTTGTTCTTCTTGATGAAACACATGTTGTTGTTTTTAATTTCTTAATCAATATTCATTGTTCCGACGTTTTTCCTCTTCCACCTGAAGTATAAGCCCCGAAACACACGAAAAGAAAACCCCAACCTTGATAGCAGATTGCTCTGACAGAAAGCAGAAACATGAGAGAAGCAGACAGGTGAGCTTATTTTGAATAAAATCGTTAAAATTCATAACAAGAGCGTTATAACTTTGTAAATGTTGCAATCAATATACGTAAGGGAATGTTTGTATTGGACGAATCAGTAGTGTTACTATGATGTAGTGGCGGACAACTCTCCTGTTCCAATACACACAAAAAACACCTAAAATGTCAACAAAAACGACCAAATGTGTTACTAAGGAGGATAGTTCCTTTTTACACTGTTAGAACAAGTATTAACATTTTTAATCAAGTTGGTTACAATTTTAATCAACCACAGATTACCATATGAATCACTCAATTGTGGATTAAATTTTAAACTGTGGTTGATTAATTTTTTTAATCGTTTATTGGTTAAATGTATTTGCTCAATGTTGGTTTAAGTGGTGTAGATTAAACTTTAACCATTTGTTGGTTATCTATGCTTTTTTTCGGGCTGATTCACTCAATGTTGGTTAAACTTACATGGGTCGTTGGTTAAAATCGTAACCATTGTAGGTTAATTCTGTTTTGATTCACACGATGTTAGTTAAATTTGTTGGTTACAGTTATAACCACTGTTGGTTAAACGTACGGGGGTTTGGAGGTCTTATCCCCGTGTTTGCAGGTAAGAAATTATTTAAATATTATTATCATCAATTCTAAGATTGTAAGGAAGAAGTGAAATAAGTTTCTTGCTCAAATTAAAAACGTTTAGAGTCTCGTAGGCTGTAGCTCAACCAGTAAGTGTAACGGATGACCTAGCCAAATTGCATGCATATTAAAGACGTTTCACTTTACGATGACTATCTTATTTTGTTTCTAATTGGTTTAAACAATTATATACAATTAGAGAAAAAATTAGGTAGTCATCATAAAGAGAAACGTCTTTATTCATGCATGCAATTTGGGTAGGTGATCCGTTATACACTTCTCCTTCTTTGGGTCTGCCTCCTTCACAGTTGAAGATTCTTGCAGACTGATAAGTGTGTGTGTGTGTGTGTGTGTGTGTGTGTGTGCTTACGAGAGCAAGGTGCATGGTGCGATGCTCACATAATCATGGTGTAAGTAAACAGTTACTTACTGGTTGAGCTACGTACAGCCTACGAGACACAAACCGTTTTTAATTTGAACAATAACCTTATTTCACTTCTTCCTTACAATCTTAGAATTTATGATGATAATATCAAAATAATTTCCAACCTGAAAACATGGGGATAAGACCGTCCAAACCTCCATTCCCTCAGCGTCCTCGCGACACCCTCCATTGTTTTTTGTTTAAATATTTTGTTGCACACGTATACGTATGTTGCGTGTGTATTAGCATGTGTCGGGCGATCGCAAGGTTAAGGGCTAGCTACGCGATTCGATCGTTCCGTTGGGTCAGGTGACCAGTACTTTATTAACTTTGATTAAACTTTAACAGGGAGGGGGCAATCATTACTGTGGGAATTTTTTTTAAATCCATGCCGGGTTACAATGTTTGCCAACGACTTGGACATAACCAATAAAGTTTAAAAGGAATAGTTTTGATCAACACTGTTTTTAACAAACGCAATATTTAAAGTAAATTTTAATCAACACTACATTTATAACGTTTTTTGATAAACAATTCTTTAACCCGCAGTTTGGTTAATACTTGTTTTAACAGTGAAGAGGAATTATAATAACTATGTTATCCATATATAATTGTTGTCTAGTGCCTAATTGGAGAAGGCACGTATGAGAAAAACAGAAATTAATATAATTTGTCTACACTACAAACGGAAGAGTTGCCCGGGACTATGTCACAATCCAGTGACCAAATTGCCAACTTGAGATTCACATAATAAATATATATATAAGATATAGTGATGACACGTCTGAAAGCTTCATCATTTTCTAAATATTTTCTCAATTTATTTCAAACTTTCGCAATTCGGTTTCTCTTCTTTGTTCTGTTTTCACACTAATGCACTTATTACAAAGATTGGATTGTCCTGTACGCTATTGTTATTTTCGATTAGACAGTAGCTCAGTCGGAAAAAAAAATCTCTCAAAAACGATATGGAAAGTTAAGAACGATTTTTTTTAAAACTTCTTTTGTTTACATATTAATTATATAAAATAAAGCCCTCATTTTTTTTTTAAACTTCTTTTGTTTACATATTAATTGTATAAAATGAAGCCCTCATTTTTAACTTCCATATACATTTAAGTCGTTGCTTTTCACGGACTTAGTTGACGGGTTTATTTTTCTATTATTTTTATTTTTTAACTAGAAGCCAGGCGCCCTTCTCGCCAACTTTTCACATTTTGGTATTCAGTTTGTTAATCTGATTATCAGTTATACGTGAAATTTATAGAAAGATAAACCGACGATCCGAATCAATTAAACAATTACGTAAAATATGAATTGAAAGTAGACTAGTATTTTCCAAGAGTCAAATCTGATTAAACGGCAGCAAATTTATCCATCCCTATCCCCCCCCCCCCCCATGATGATAATAATACTAATAATGGAAATTATAACAACATAATTATCAGGGAAGCCTTATCAGCAATTATATTATCTTTTTTATTTTATTTATAGCTTGTATCTATTTATATATATGGCGTAATTTTAGTTTTTTTGGTTCTCGATGATTATCAGGTGGGCTTTATATCGTACAAACCACCTTATAATTTCGTTAGAATTGCCTTTATTATTATTTATTTATTTATTCTTTATTTTTCTTATTTCTAACCACTTTTTTGTGGACAAGATAACCTGAAAATGGCTAAATCATCAAATGCCTTCAAATTTGGCACACATATGTATAGGCATATTTACAAAGCACAATAACGTTTTCAACATTGACCTTCACTGATGACGTCATCTAGGCACCATTTTGTAAAATTTTACGAAAATGAACTCATGATCATATCTTCATAACCAAAAGCTATTTCTCATTCATATTTATCATGATCAAGGTTAATATCCGTCTGGTCAATTTCAGGTCAAAAAACGCGCGCGTGTACGTACGTCCGCGCGTCGTGACAATTTTGAAATGCTCAAAATCGTCTCAAAATCATTTTGCATACGTTTTAGGCCATTCTAAGCATTTTATAAAAAATCGCGCACACGCGCATGCGCGCGCGTTTTCGCGCGTAAAACTATTACACAACATAGAATCTTTTTTTTTATTTCTTTCATAATACTCCACATATCTTTTTACAAACAAATTGATACCATGTTTGTCTCTTTATGACTATTAATAAGGGAATGATCGGCCGTTTATCAAATTTCCGTGCGCGCAAGCTCTTGTAATACATAGCATATATGGGCAAAAACATGCCTATACAAAATCCATTTTAGCTCTTTAGGATGCAAGGTGACCCTATTTTTTTTCATATGTTAATAGAGTATGATATGGAGATATTGTTTCATGTCTCATTTGACCCTCAATTAACTCATGACGTCATCATAATGGCCTCCGAACTCAAAATTCCAATTTGCATATTATGAAGTCAGCATATTTATGGAAAGTTGATTGTATCTCTGTAAATATTGATCGATTTCCTTCCAAATGTTGATATGTTCTAGCTGAGACAATGCTTTACAAATACAGTGGTCAGGATTTTTCATTTTGACAAAAGCATCATGGCGTATTTTTGCAATTAAAGGAGGCATGTCAATTCTTCACATTTTGCGTGTATTCTCTATGTGACATGATTTTTTCTCAAAACTAGATTCTACATTCTCGTCTTTCGCGAGCAATATCTCCGTCGTTTTAGCTTCGTTTACGCTGAGCTTCGAGTATGTTTTAGCTGAGACAATAAGCTATCTCAAATGTGCCATTTATTTTGTCTTAAATTTTAGTTTGACCAGCTCACCTATACTTGTTACAAACAAGTATTACAAATCTAGTTTGTGATTGTTATCAATATCATTCTTTAAAATGTTGTCTCCTTTTTTTCTTTTTTTTTCCAACATGTTTTATTGCGTGAAAGTAGAAAACAGCTAAACTCTTTATCAGGTGTCTGACAGAAATCGGAAGTTGTTTGAACCTTCGCAAACTTAGATCACTACTGTAGGCTTAATGTGTGAATCTCTAATCGGCAATTTTGTCATTCGAACTGAACATTGAAATATCAATATTCGTTTCTCTTCTAAATAACCTAGGAGCTATGCCTAATATATAGTATGGATGCCATGTCGTTGTATTAGCCCCCCCCCCCCCCCCTTTCCACGAAGAAGAATCAATGTTGTAATGCAATAATACCTGAGCTACTGTGCAGTGGAGTCGCATCGACTTGTTCATGTGGGTCCTGCTGCTTTGAGAGATATTCACCTACAGGAAATGTATACAGAGTCATTTTCTGATGTTATTTATGCATCCATGGCTCGGGAGAATCGAGCATTAAAACATATTCTTTTTATTTAGAAACGAATAATGTTTCAATTTCAGAAATCAAACAATACACCTGAATACAGCAAGACTGCTAGACTGATCAAATTTACTTTGAATATAATAATCAATCATACAATATAGATAGACTATAGTTCATTCAGTTGCATTTAAGTGTTTACCTTTGGACAATTTTTTCCCCAATCCACCAAGCTCCACATCATGAAGCTTCCTCGCCAGGATCGATCGTGATTGGCTTGTATCTGCTTGTTTAGTATTCCACTTGATCAGGATATCCTTCATAGCCTCATTGTAATCTTTTAGATGAGTTGAGAGAATTGATTGATTTCGATTATGGGAGTACCCCAGGGCGATGCACAGTTCTGAGTAACTAGTATGAGGTATGTCTCTGGAAAGATGAATCATCTCGACTTCCTGTAAATATGGTAAAGGCTCCATTGTTCTGCAAAGGGAATAAACAAAATGCATTGGGTCATCATGGTGACTTAATCGAATCAAGGAGTTGTTATAGGCGATCAAACAAGACTATTAATTATCAAATAGTCATAACTATTTCAAGAAAGTTAGAAACTTCACAGGGTTTAGATAAACTACATGAATAGTTTTCCTAAACTAGTTATCCAAAGGTAACTCGAGATGCTTAGGAATAGATTTGTTGGTTGACTTGACTAGACATGGTCGATCATAAATACTATGACAAAAGACATAAAACGCCAAATGTTGTCATGGTGTAAAGAGTGTCAACTGTTCCAGGGAGAATGACTGCAGTTAATAATGTGTTGGTACCAAAACTTAATTATTTATTTTTTTCACTTCTAGAACCAAACTCGCAAATTATGAAAGACATAAATCTTTATCATTATGCATTTGTATGGGGTAGCAAATCTGACAAAATCTGTAGAGAACAAACGTTTCAACTCTACAATAAAGGCCGGGTTTAAACGATTTAATAGACAAAAATCATGCATAATCTTTAAGATATAATGGATTAGAATATTTAACTGATTCCCAGGTGCAAAGTTACATGTGGCACAAATTTCATTCATTCTTTTGCCAGACTTATTCTTGTCACTTGTACATTGGTTTTGTTTACCTAAAAGATTTGACAAACTTGACGCCTGTTTGGAAAGAGATTATCTTAGCTTGGCCTCTCTTGGTTGAACTTTGTATTGATGACATCGCATGTCAACCTCTCTGGAATAACTCCCGATTCAAAACGAGCGATAAAGTAGTATATTTGAGGTCTTGGACAGCGGGGCGGAATAGCACAACAAAATGGACACTTCTGGAAAAAGAAGAAGGGGAGCACTTGCATTGCGACTGATTAGATCTAATTATTTAGATAATCGACAATAGTAAAATTATACTATGAATGCAAGCGAGCGAAGCAGGCGAGTTTGGGGGAAATTTGAGTAAATGTTGCTTTCAGTCGCTTTAGATTAGAGGCACACGTGAAGGAGGCTATGAATTATCCATTGTTTCTGTGTGAGATGAGGGGTTATGAAGGGTTATAAAAAACATCTTTTCATAGCATGTATACATTCTGCACACTTTGTAAGTAGCAATGTGATACATAGGTCAAAACGGGTACTTATCAAAAGGCAGTCATAAAGAAAGGAAAAGAAACTATTTTTTAAAGAAAAAAAGAAAAGGTATTCATTTGAATCGGCACTTATTATAAATGATTTTTGTTCTCCATTTTCATAAGGAAAAGTGGCAATTATTAAAAAAGAAAATGTACACATGTCAAAGTAAAAGGGGTAGTTATCTAATATAAAAAGGGACATTTATCAGAGGTGAAAAGGGGCATTTTAATATATGAAAGGGAAAGGGGCACTTAATACTAGGGAAAAGGCCACTTATTTTTAGGGTTGTCAGAGAATTTTGTAACCAACTTGTACTCGAAACCCCTGATAACCCTTTTTTCTTTTCCTGGTCACGTAGGATATACGGAATGTTGTGCCCTTAGTATATATAACGATATTCACTTTGCTTGTTGTATACAAAGGCTCAGTATCAATCGTGATTTGGATTCATGTTATGAATATAAGAAAAGACTTAGCAGAATATTTATCGTGTTAATGAAAAGATCGTATTAGTAGCAGAATAAATATTTCAGCTGCTGATACTTTCAAAACTAAAATCGATGTATAGAGGTCGATCAGATGAAATGAGACAAACGAAACAAATGTTAAATATATATTGTATATGTGAATAAATTAGCTGAGATAACAATGAAATTACCACGTATTTCAAAACTGTAGTCGGCAATTACAATTTCGCTTTTCATCATGACAAATATTAAATACAAAAATAATGAATAGAATAAAGTATATGTTTTTGCGAACGTTTTCCATATGTTTTCCTCCCCATGTTGGTTCTTTGTATACTTTACGTCTAAACACAAACTCTTGACGACTTATCAAAGTATTGTCCGGCTCCAGACTATGGGGGGAATTTGATTGTAGGAAAAGTCAAAAAATATAGTCGTAAAAATATCCGGACCACAGAGAACATGAATGTGTCCAGATAACAAGTAATAAAGGGGAAAAAGGAAAGCAAGGAAGAAGAAGAAGGGGAAGGGGAAGAAAAAAGAGCGAGTATGGGCCGATGTTCAAATTCAGCTTTCTTTAAAAAAATGAAACCCGATTCTGATGATCGTTTTAATATCTACCATGTGATTGCCATGCTATGTAACATAAAATAGTACCACAGTGTCGTTTATTGTAATAAAAATATTCAAAATCAAGAAGAAGGAGAAGAATATTTGTTTCTATCTCTCTCTCTCTCTCTCTGATAAATCCCTCGAACGGTAGAATTCACCGCGAAGAATCAATGGTAAAACTAATTATTTTAAGTCCCGGCTGAAAGAGTAAAGTGCCACGTCATAGTTTTATTAAAGAGTAGCAATGGCAAACGATGATATTATCTTAAAAACATTCAGAAAACATTAAAAAAAGAATGAATGAGACAGATATATGACCATGTAAACAAAATATTTGTTTTCACGTAAATCCTTGAACACTAACTAACCAAGGGAAACTCGGGAAAGATGCAAATAAGGGTTTAGTTGAAGACAATAATGTATACAATATTTCCTGCTGTTTAGACATTTAATTGAAATAAACAAAAAGCTAAGCCCGGGGCAAAAAAATTGGATTACAGGGCTGTCAAGGTGAGAACATTATTAACAATGTTGACGATACCGTGAGTACACCAAACATTTTTTTCATCATCATTATGCACACGAATGATGCAAACATTCATGTTGAAAATACCTCATTTGCATCATCACTGTAGGAAATCTCGTACATCAAGAGATCAGTCAATTACAATAAACCTGTGAAAAAGTACCTTAAAAAGTATTTACTCCATCATCCTTTTTCAACGATTATTTTTATATTTTTTTCTATTTTAAAGCCCCTCTTCAATGTTGGGAGCCCCGAATTCGCCAAAATTTGGCAAAATGGCAAAATGGCAAAATGGCAAAATGTCACTGTTAATAAGCTGTATCATAATGTAAGAGAGGATGTTATTTAAGACGGGGTCTGGTCGCTATTCATAAGGACCGCTATTCGTAAGGACCGCTATTCATAAGGACCGCTATTCACAAGGTGTAACTTCCCGTACTTCCGGGAGCGCTATTGACAATGGGAGAAGAGGGTCATTATTCATAAAGAAATAAGAACCGTGAACCGTATTAGGATGGCTATTCATAATTAACATTGGGGGGGGTCACTACTCATAAAGACAGCTATTCATAATACGAAATGAGGGTCTCTATTCATAATACGAGGAGAGGGTCGCTAATCGTAATACGAAATGAGGGTCGCTATTCATATAATGAGGAGAGGGTCGTTGTTCATTTTATGAGTAGAGGGTCGCTCTTCATTATACGAAATGAGGGTCGCTATTCATAATATGAGTAGAGGGTCGCTATTCACAATACGAAATGAGGGTCGCTATTCATAATTCAATTTTCTTTCAAATTATTCATCATATTACTGATGAATTTATCTTTCATGCGATTGTCATGTGACGGTATGTGAAAATAGTGCCTTAATGTCGTGTATCGTCATCAAAATATTAAAATAGCATTTGAGAGACGATGAACAAATAAGAATAATAATACATCGCTTGGAAAATATTATTTTATTTCTCTCTCTCCCTCTCTCTGTCTGCTAAACCCACCGAACAGTGGAATCAACAGAGCGGAATCAACCGTGACACGAATTATTATGAGTCATATATAGCTGAAAGAGAGAATTGCAACGTCATGGTTGCATTACAGAGTATCGATGGGGAACTCCTGTTGCTGAAATTGATCAATCTTGACAGTTTCTCATGACCAGTTTAATATATTGGCCAGTAAATATGAAATATAGGGAGCAATATCTGTAAACAAATGCACTGGAATGTTATCGTGACTTTAAGCCTTTTGGTATCAATTAGCAAAACTTGACTTCTGATTTCAACTGGAGTTATTGGTTCTAAAAAAAGAGATTGCTCTATATTCTGCCCCAAATAATCGCCATTTGTTTCTTCATTACATAGCTATACGTACTGTTTACTTCATCATCCTTGTTCTTTTCTTCATTTAATGATTTTGTTTATTGTAGTAATTACTGTCTGGAATAGGCTATATAATTTTGTTAAATAGTGGCGTAGAGGGGAGGGGGGGGGGCAAGAGGGCAAGTACATGTTTCCGACCGTATTTGAATAGACGATGGAAATCCTGGCACTACACCCTACCCGACTCAAATTATCTAAGCAAAATTAAGTTCATGGAATGTTAATGGACTTGATGAAAGACTGAACGGAACAAAACAATGTAAACTAAATGTTCCTATCTTTAGGGAGAAACTTATTACAGATATTGTATTTCTAATATAAGTGAGACGCATTTATCTTACAGTGAACACATCTCATATAAACGATATGGTGGTGGTGGTTATTTTATCTGACTGCTAAGAAAGCATAAATGCTTGCTAGTAAGCAACCAGACGGCCGACGGATTTAGGTCCGCTCCGAGGGACCTGGTAATGATGAATAATGCCTTACTAAAAGGCACTAGCGCATCGACTTGGTTTGAACCCGGGTCACTGGATTACGAGACCACTGCTCTACCAACTGAGCTATCGCGCCTTCTCTATATAAATAGTCTGTCGGTCAAACAAACTCTAGCAGACTGAGACGAGGATTAGGAGTCCTCTTTAAACAACCTCTTGTAAAGGGAACTACCATTATTGAAAGAACCTGTAGTGAATATTATGTGGCTGAAGCTCAGTCATACAATTTTCGGCTTCAGAAATGCCTAATATATCCATTCTAAACTGTTAATTCATCACACACATTGATAACTGGAATAAATATAGAGATATTGGGAAACCTCGAAATAAAAAGATAAAATATTGAACGCAAAATCTAGAACAGTTATTATTA